CCTAAACCTAGCATGTGACTATTGGAGTCTTTAAGAATCAAAGGATAGTACCCATCAACACTGACATCTGAAGAAGGAATTGCAGAACTTAAATTTGTTTCACTGAGTGCAAGCAAGTCTGGTGAATTTTGCAGGAGGTAAGACTCAACTGATGGAAAGTTGCTTCGTAGACCGCGAATATTTGTAAAATTATTTATTAATTATTAATTCCAATTGCAAATTATATGCAGATGAGTAGTAAACTAATCAAAGTTATAAAAAATGTTGAAGATCATGAGTCTTTGCAGAATGACATCAATGAATTTGTAAAATGGACGGATATCTGGTTGACAAAGTTGAACATCGTAAAGTGCAAGGTGATGCATTTAGGTAAAAAGAATCCACGAATGAGTTATTATATGACCCACAACGACAAAGATCACAAACTAAAAACAACATTAAGTAAAAGAGATTTAGGAGTGATTATTTTATCCGACCTTAAATGGCATGATCAAGTGACTTTAGCGACAGCAAAAGCGTAAAGAACTTTGGGTCTAATTAAACGTACGTTTACATACTTTGACGTGAAAATGGTGAAATCACTATATACGACATTTGTGAGACCACTTCTTGAGTTCGCTATACCTGCATGGCAGCCTTATTTATAACGGGATATTGATGAGTTAGAGAAAGTGCAAAGAAGAGCAACGAAGTTAGTTCCACAACTTAAAAAGATTTCATATGAAAAAAGACTGAAAGCAAATGGTTTAACAGCATTGGAGAAAATACGAGCTAGAGGAGATCTTATACAACAACACAGATTCAAGCAAAATATAGACCAAATAAATTGGTACATAAATCCAAAACTGGCATCATCCGTGACTAGTTCAGGCCCGGCTTTTTCTGTAAGGGGCAACAAATACAGGTTAGAAAGAAAATACGTACCATCATGTTTACCGAGATATTATTTCTTTACCAATCGAGTTTCTAAAAATTGGAATTTGTTACCAAATGAAATCATTGAAGCAAGATCGTTGAATGTTTTCAAAGCGCGAATAGATAAACATTTTTGATAACTTAAGTTTTTTTATTTTTTTAATTGTGTGGGTTGTCTATAACCCGATGCTTGCATCGCGTTACACAATTTATTTTATTTTTATATATTTATATTTAAACAAATTTGTAATTGTTACAACAATAAATATTACTATTACTACAAGTGATAAATAAAAAAAAAAATAATTCAATAAATTTGAGACAAATAAATTGATCGTTTTAAAAATATTTTTGAACTATTAAAAATTTTTAAAAATATTTGATTTTGAAGACCAAAATTCTCAATCAAAGATTCGTATAACACTGTGTCATTAAATGAGTTTTAATTCGAACCTCTTTTCCCGAAAAAAACCTTCGGGGGGGGGGGGGGGGGTATGATAGTACAAGTATGTAGGAATACATTAGAGTTTGGTTTTGAAATCTTTCATCATTATACGTGAAAGAAAATTGAAAAATCAAAATTTGAAAATTATGATTTTTTGGCCTATTGACAAGATTATTAATGAAATGAAACACTTTTTCGTAACAATTGTATGTTTTTGTCACATTAGAGTTTCTAGGCCGTTTATAAAATTTAAAATTCTGGGAACGGCCTGCAAACAGTTTCATTGTGCCTTTTACACAAAATACAAGTGCAAAGTTATTTAAAATGCCGAATCAAGCAAAAACTCATGATGACAACAGAAAAACTTTCTGTTTTCTCTGTTTAAAAAAAGCTAAAAGGCAACTTATGATTAAATTCTGTCAAGAAATTTATGGTCAAGCTCTCAACTTTAAAAATCAAAGAGACCCAAATGGTATCTGTGAAAACTGTCGAGTAGGCCTTAGAAAAAGAGAAATTGGTGAAGATGGTATCCAAACATTTGGCTCCATTCAAACTGATTATAGAAATATTTTCACAGAGGGCAATTAGCAATCAATAAGTGCAGAAAGCTTTCAAAAAATGTTGATTTGTTAAAACAAATCAACATTTTTTAAAAGCTTTCTGCAAAAAGCATGGTTGCTTCTTAGCATTTCAACTTGCGAAAAAGCATGGCTTTTTAGCATTTCCATTCATTGACACATTTATAAAGTTTGATGCAGTTGTTCATTTGCCCTTAGGAAATGTTCTTCAAGACAACTACCGCATCCTCGTTAAAGAAATTAAGGGTTTATATTTCAAGCTTCCAAACACGAGTGTCATTCCTGAAATGCATGCTCTCTTTTTTCATGTTTATTGATCGCCACAGCCACTTACTGGGCATCTATTCAGAGCAAGCAACAGAAGTACTCTCTCATGACTTCAACCATCACTGGCAACGGTTCAAAAGGCCCAGTAATTATCCAGACTACCCTAAGAATCTTTTAAACTGTTTAATTGATTACAACAGTAATTATTCCTTTTAATTTTAGCGACGAGTGGTGTGTACAAAGGGCAGGGACGTAATCAATGCAAGCTGATGACTCGCACTTACTAGGAATTCCTCGTTCATGATCAATAATTGCAATGATCAATCGCCATCACGTCGAACTTTTATAGATTACCTGAACCTCTGAAGATTACCTCGGTTAAGGATAAGACTCACTGCCTTCGAGAGTGTAGCGCGCGTGCAGTCAATCATTTTATTGATTATTTATTTTGCATGTAAATATTTTACAAACCACCAATGTAACAGGTGCTCAGCGATTAGACAATTTGTCTTCTTCTTGCTCCTGCCAGGTTTTTATTTAATTGTAATTTCTTTTTGTTATTTGAACAAACGGCAAATATATAAATAAATAAAAAAAAAAAAAAACTTTACAGTAGACAATACTGTATTATAATATATGATATGTAAGAAATTACTCGTCAACATCAATTTTTAACAACTATATTTAGTAAGAGTAATCCTTTTTTTTAAGTTGCTTGATCTGTTCAGCTAGAATCTTTTTTTAAACTTTCTGAAGAAATTGAATGCTTTTTTGTTTGTTAAGTTGTAAGTACACTGCTTATTTATTGTTTCTAAGTTGTAAGTACAATGCTTATTTATTGTTTCTAAGTTGTGAGTACACTGCTTATTTATTGTTTTTAAGTTGTAAGTACACTGCTTATTTATAGAATATGTTAGAACAAGTTTTAAATGTTTTCAGTAGAAAATGTAACTCATTTTTTCAGAGCAATAAAATCGAAAATTTCAAATCAATTTTTCTTTCACTGACAATGATGAAAAATTTTAAATACCACTCTAATGAACTCCTAGATACTTATACTACCTCAAAAGGTTTTTCTCGAAATAAGAGGTTCAAATTAAAAGTCATTTCGTGACATAGTGATAATTAATAACGAACAAAATTATAAATATTCGCATTGATCGGAATATTTTTAACCGTAATTTCAGATGAATTACACGTTTTTTTATAAGAAACTAGTTCAAGAAGTCCCAAACTTTTAAGAAACGTGTAGTACTGAGTTACTTTTTAATAAGAAACATATTTTATTAGGAGTTCGAGAAATATTTTCAAATTTTTTACCTACATATAACATAAACTTAACACAATTAAAAAAAAAATTATCTACAATGAAGAGCAACAACTTAAACGTTTATTTAATTTACACGCGTCAATACGGTATACGTATTTACAACATACGTTAATATGATACACATATATGATTTGCAATAGCGTTCTAAAAATAGAACTTTTTTCAGAAACGTAAGGCATTTTGGGATTGATATTTAGACAAACATTGCACAGAAACAAAAGAATTTCCTAAAAACGCTAGTGGTTGTGGGATTAATATTCGGACAAACAAACAATTTGACGTCTAGAAATTTCTAAAAAAAACAAAATCCTTTAGAAAAAATACTCTGGCATTTGCATTTTATTCATTTTGGGGTCACCCCTCTGTATCACGTAGTGATGGTGTCACCCGGTGTAGTCTGCACCCCTCTTAGCGATGTTACTGCTGAAATGTATAAATTATTTTAATAGTTTTCTTCATTGTGTACACATCAATGCTAATGGTTACATATTGTTTAAGAAAATAAATACTGTTATCATTTAATTAAATAATCCACCTAGTATTTGCTCATTTTAAAACTGGTAAAAAATTGTTTGCAACGTCATTGAAGAAGACGTTTTTCATATATATAAGTTATTTATTGTTTTATAAATAAATTATGCGCAAAATAATTTAAATTTTATTTCTTTTATAAAAAAATAATTAAAAAAAAGTTTTCAGGAAAATATAAATGGAACAATAGTATTTCAATCTTTGAATCCCACGTGAGTTTCAGAAACACCGTTCACAATATCCGCAACAATCTGATCTTGTAGATAAAAAAAGCATGAAGAGTATTTATTTTAAACTTCTTTTTTAATGTTTATTTTTTTGTGTTCATCACTCGCTTTGAATTAAACTTTAGTAAATTCTTCTTATTGTATTACTTCATATAATTCTAGAAAAGTTTTGTGAGCCAAGTGTATTTCTAAGTTTTGTTTTTGTTTGCGTACCTGTGTTTTTGTTTGGGTACCTGTGAAATATTTACATAGTCAGTGCAATTAGGTCATAACTAAACTTGTATTGACTAATACAAAACAGTAGTAATAATTTCTGTTTCATAATTTTTTTTATAAGGGAGCTTATGTAAATCAGGTTTAGTAACGAGGTTGTAGTTTGTTTTTTTTTTTTTTTTTTTTTTATACAATTATAGTTCTGCACTTGTTAAAATTGTGTTTGCCCTATACAAATCTTTACTTCTTAATTTTATTTACTCCCTTATCTCAGATTTTTTTCTTCGTATAAATCAAATTTATTTTAACATATCTTTTATCAAAATGTTTAAAAAACTTTTTGTTTTATATTAGAATATTTAAGACGTCAAGTTAAATAAAAAAACGCTTGCGTGGGTTACTATGAAATAACCAATGGTTATGAATATATGGATAAAAATACATAAGTAATGAACGTATGGATAAAAATATATAAATAATTTATTTTTGAAAAGTCTGAATCATTTTTTTTTTACGAATAGTTTTCTGATTTAATACCGAAAATGTATTCTGTACAAAAATTAAAGGAAAAATTTGAAAAAAATACTGGAAATGAATCTAACTTAAGTTTTGGAAAATTACAAAAAGATAATATTTTTATTGACCTTACAAATACACCAAGGTACTTAGAACGAAGAGTCTCCATTGATCCCCAATTCTATCGTTACAAAGATGATACCAAAGAAAGAACCACAGATATGAAGTCCACAGCTTTAACACCTAGATCACCAAGGCCACATAAATCATACGCTGAAAATCTTGTTGAAGATGAATTCACAGAGCCTGCTCGTAAATTTTCCAGATCCAGAGTGTATGCAAATCAACATATAAACTTTTTTCAAAATAATGATTTAGTCTTGCGTTCGAATTTTGCCAAAGAAAGATTAAAATTTATATACAACAATGATTTAGTAGAAGTTCGGAAACAAAATAAAGGGGCTGAAATTTATTCAAATATAGCGCTAGAAAAGTTGAATAGATCAGGTAACGTTAAAAGCTCAGCAGGTCTTGATACCGGATTAACTACTGAAGCGAAAGAAATAAATTCAGCAGGAATGAATGGAAGCCATATAAATTACTCTGTAAACTTGGGATTCAACACTAAAAATCCGCTTTATTATAAACCTGAAGAAAACCAAATACATAATAAAACTGAAACTTATACAGGGAAAAATTTTAACAACGAAAAACTGTTTCTAACGCCAATAATATCAAATATTGGGAAACCAATGCGCTCTAAATTCTTAAATTTTTATACGGATGTAAAAAATAAAGAGTTATCAAATGAAAATCGCTTAATGTACTTGCCAAGTGAATATGAAACAAATTTAAAACCAGTGGAGGATAAAATACGTAAAAAATCAGATGAAAGTCAAGTAGAACTAAGTAAGCCGTTGAAAGCAAAAACAGAACGAACTTACGGCGACAAGTTTTCTAAAATATTTAAAAGTAGAACTATTCGATACCTCTATGAAGACTTGTACTCGAAGCAAGTCGAAAATCAAAAGGTACTTAAGTAAAGTATATTTAAACAGCTATTGCTTAAATATATTAATATAAATTTAATAATTTTGATTTTTTTATATTTTTCACTAGAATAAAGAAACTCTAGATCATGTACAATTTCTTCACAATAAGCCTGATCTTCTTCTCGACGTTGATAGTCATTACTACTATAGGTCTGTCAAGTTAAAGTTGGAGGCTGCTACGCGCACTTCTGAAGTTCTTTTACGACAGAAAAAGGTAAACTAATTTTTTTGTTTTTTTATTCAATATGTACTATTATTAAATATAAAAATTTTTTAGGAAATTGATGCACAACTTCTTGCCGCTGAGAGAGAGCGCATTGATTTGCAGACCATTTTAAAAAGAGCCATATTGCGTAAGTATTCCGGAACTAAAGATATAAGAGCTTTAACTCGACCACATGGAGCTGCGAACAGATACAAATAATTGTTTTGAAAAAATGACTTTTTTATGTTGAACAATATCAGAATAGCTTTAAGCTATTAAGCTTTAATATATATTAATTTAAAAAAAAAATGTAATTAGATTGCAAATGTTTAAAAATTAATTTACTAAGCAATGGCCCTTTCATCGTTAAATACTTCAAAATGATGTCATAGTTATTTAACTTAATGCCATAATATATTTTTAGCATTAATAATTAAACTTAGTAAATGATAAATTTAAATATAGAAATAGAAATAATGATTTTCATGTGTTTTTTTTTTAAATTACGATTCCGTTTTTTTAAAAAAACTACAAATTAGAAACTAAAATATTACAAACATGTTTTGTTTGATTTCATTGCTGCAAATTTACTAATAAACTTAAAAATCCATTTTCTTAGCCTCGCTAATTTCATCCAAATCAGCAAGGCTAAGAAAATGGATTTTCCATTTCTTAGCCTCGCTGATTTTTTATCTATTCACGATTATACTTCTTTTTTAATTTTTCACATTCTTTTAAAATGTTTCAAGCTGCACCAAAAATTTTCCCTCCCTCGTGTACCATGCGTGTTAGAGGTTTTATAATATATAAATAACGTAATTCAACAGCCAGTAGAAATGTTTTTTTTTTCGGAGCATCGAATGAGATTCAGTACTTTTAAATTTATGTTTCATTCGTCTGTAAACTTAACATAAAATAATTGATGTTTGGAATGTGGATAATCAAAAACAATGTTTACAATTGAGTGCAAATTATACTATGCAAAAACAACAACAAATAGAGTAGTTTTATATCCATAGTTGCAAAAAAGTTGCAAAGAAATAAAGTTGCGATTGTTGTTCACAATAATTTGATCCTAACTTTTTCTGATAATTTCATGCAAATTTTTTCTTGAGTAACATTCCTGTTGTAACTATATTCGAAGTTTTCCAAAATATCTTTTGTCGCATAACAATAATTTTGGACGAGATTTTTACAAGCGATAACAAGTTTATGCAATATATGGATGTTTTGTATAAAAAAAAAGTATATCGCCTCTTTTTTACTTTATAAAAAGAATAATAGGCCTTATAAAAAACAAAAAAAAAGATTCCAGTTTTAAACAGTTTAATTTTTTGTGACAGTTTTTGCTGTTGCAATAGTTTTTTCTGTATTTGTAGGTTGTTCATTAAAAAAATGGCTTTTAGATTTTTCATTGAAAAAATGGCTTTTAGGTTGTTTATTCAAAACATAGCTTTTCAGTTTATTCAAAACATAGCTTTTATTCAAAACAAAGCTTTTCAAGTTGGTTGGCAAATTTACATCGAGACTAGTTGTCTCAGAGTATTTACTAGAAAAAAATAAATTTACAAACTTAACTTTTTTAAAAAAAAAAGCTGGTAAAAATATTTGCAAAATCATTTTTTACAAAAAAGTTTTAAATATTTTTGCTAGGGAGTTTTTATCAGGAAAAATGTGAGCTAACGTTTTGGTTTTATATAAAAACTATTATTAAAAACTATTATTATAAAAATTATTATTGTTATAACCTGCTCAAAGGTTATGAATAAAAATATGATGCACCCTACATCATATTTTTATTCATGTTTTCTATTCTCAATTCGTGTAAACTTTACAAAAAGTCACTATTACTTTGATACTGCCATTTTTAATGTTGATATTCGAATAATAAATGACTAACAAGCAAATTTTTATAAACTTACGTGCAAAAATTGTTTATTTACTAATTTTTTTTTATTATATAAACTTTTATTTTGCTGATTAAACAGTTACAATTTTCATATAATCATGTAAAAAATACATAGCGGCGTAAACATAAACATGATAAATAGCGTTTTTTATAATTTTTTATGTTTTTTTATTTTATAATATGTATTTACTGTTCTAATTAGTCAGTGACTCAAGAAGGTAAGGATGATTTGTTTAACACCACAACCTTTTCATAGAGCCCCTTTAGTCACTCATTATAAAAACACTTTAGTTTTAAAAAATAAAATAAAAGTTCAATAAAAACAAAGCTCATATTTATTAGTGTGACAAATTAAAAAACAAAAAATATTAACTAATTACACTAACCAAATTTTATTTTAAATATTACTAATATTTATTTACACTAACCAAATTTTAAAAAAGTACAACTAATCGATATTAAAAACCAAGTACAACAAATAATATCAAAAACAAATAAAACTTATGCTTTGGTCAAAGCATCATTAACAAATTTAGGGGGTTCAACTAACAATTTAAATTATCTTAAATAAGATTAAATTTAACTAACAGATTTGAAATTTTATCTGTTTAAAATTTTAAACCTAAAGTATGGCTTTAAAGAACTGGGTACCATGTAAACTTTTAAATTCTTTTGAATACCAATAAGTTTTTGGGTGGAAAAAAAAATATTTATCTGGAAAATATGTAGAGTAAAAGCGGGTAAAATGAAATAGAGGTTGAATGAAATAGTTATGACAATCTTTAATTTTTGCTCCTACTTATATATTAAATAAACATTTTACAATTATAATTTTTGTTCGTGTTGTGGAGAATTTTTTCCTGAATAAGACGGTGTAAAATTTTAATACAAAATAAATAATTTTTTTCTATGAATGGTCAAATTTTCGTTCGCGTAATAATTTAAAAAAAAACTTTAAAACTCTGGAAGTAAAATTTGCTGGCATTTTTTGACATTTATGACATAATTCAAGAATCTTTTTCAAAAATAAATTTGCTATTTCCAGTAAAAAGTTAAAACGGAATTGGTTAACTGTGGGTTGAAATGAAATATGCCAATTATTTGCTTGGTAAATAAGACTATTACTTTATTAACTATGTCTAAACTGACTGATGAATCTTTATAAATTCTTCGTTCAACTTTTAAATGCAATGCACGCAAAAGAAAAAAAAAATACATACACAGAAGACCAAGTCGCACTTGCAGTGGCGAAAATGAAAATCACTTGATCAATCACTTAGCATACCAGTAGCAAATTGTTATCGGTATGTCAATAGCATAAGTGAAACGATTGGTAATGGTTAAAACACAAGATTACCGCAACATTTTGAATCAACTTTGGTAAATAAATTTATCAAATCATAACCATTGAAATTGGTTTCCAACAGTAGAAAAATTTTATTATACATTTGGAAATTGAATTAAAGCTGCTGGTTATTGTCATGCGCCATACATTATTTTTACTCAAAAAACGTTTGTACAAATATTGATACTTAAATAGTCCAGACGATGCCGTATACGCAACGCATCCATCCGGATGGGTAGAAGATAAGCAGTTTGTGCAGTTGCTCACTAGCGTGTACGTTCCGGCTATTAAAAAAAGTCAAAGTAAATATTTTAGTTGTTAAAAACTAGTTTAATTATTAAATAAAACGAACTTTGTTTATCCAATTATAGTTACTCATATATGGTCATGCATGGCACTTGACATATTGTTCCCTATCGGTTGTACTTATTTGAGCAAAAGCAATACCCTGTTAAATTGCTTACCAGCTCATTCGTCACATATTCTACAGCCACTAGGTGTTGGTGGCACAAATTATTTCAAAAGTTTTATGTAAAGACAAAGTTCAGCAACTTGTCAAAAGAATATTTTAGTTAATTGCAAGCAAAACATTTTAGCTCTGGTGAGGTTTTTACACGCTCGCAAATAGTCAGTAGATTTCAAAATACTGGTTTGTTTCCGCTCAACATCAAAAAAATTGATCAATCTAAATTATAAATCACTAATATGTTTGAGACACTTTTATCTCTTACTGAGTTTTTGTCATCACAACCACCAGAATCTATTCAAAAAAAAGTTCTAAAAGAAGTTGAAAAACAAATGCAATTTGCCTAATTGCTTGCCGCAGCTTTTTGAAAAAATGTTGACGTGCCAAGTTGCCAAGAGGAGTATCTCAACAAATATAAAATTTTCAAAAGATACTGACAGCAAAAAAGCAGCAAAGCAAGCTAGAAAACAGCGTATGATTGACTTTGATGATGAGCAGCTGATAAATCAATCAACAATTGTTGATTGATTTATCAGCTGTAATTGTTGTTGGAGTAATTGTTAACAATTACTCCAACAACAACAACAACAACAACAACAACAACAACAACAACAACAACAACAACAACAACAACAACAACAACAGCAGCAGCAAACCAAGTCAAGTGTAAAAAATGCCGTAATTTTTTGAACGAAGCTTCAGCAATTCAAAATAGTGAATGGTATCAGTGCCAAAAAGTGCAACAAAAGTGACAACTCAACTCATACTACAGAACCTCTTAAAGACTGTGACATCATCACAACATCATCACAACATCATCACAAAAATATTTTATATATACTTATAATATATAACATATATATAATAGCTAAACTATATATAATTGAAAATATATATAATTAAAAAACAAATGATTTTTAAAAGCCATTTTTATATAAGTTATAAACATCAACACAAAAATAACAACATCATCACAAAAATATTTTCATCATCACAACATCATTACAACATCATCACAAAAATATTTTCATCATCACAACATCATCACAACATCATCACAAAAATATTTTCATCATCACAACATCATCCCAACATCATCACAAAAATATTTTCATCATCACAACATCATCACAACATCATCACAAAAATATTTTCATCATCACAACATCATCACAACATCATCACAAAAATATTTTCTTTAATACGTGGTTTTTTGCTTAAGTATTATTAGGGGTTGCATTTTTTAATTAAGTATTCTTTCATTTTCACCCATCAATTTGCATATTTCATTCACCCTAATAATATGATGTTCAAAACAAAAATCCAACATTTTAAAAATAATCAATCACTTTGAATATATTTAAAATTGTTCTTCGCAGCATTCTGTTTATGCATATTAAAAAAATATTCTATGATTTCAACGTCGTGCTGTTTTCACAGATATTATGTATAAACCGAAATTTTAAATGTGTGTATTACGAATTGGATTATAAGTGAATATATACTATACAATAAGTATATTTTTTAAATGACTTCCAAATCATATATGAAATATGGCGATGAAATTAAACTTTCTGAAGAACAGCTTCTACAGGCAAAACAAACTTTAAAGTTTTTTTTTATCTTGGTATAAAATATATACCATATTATAATATATTATATTATATTTGAGTTTCCTTGGTAATCTTCGAGTTATTTTCTTATTGAAAATTTTAGGTTTTTTTTTTAATAAGTAGGTTCAGTAGTGAGAACCTTCTGGTTGTAACGTTTTTTATTTTATCAATAATAACGTTTTTTATTTTATCAATAAAACTTGCTACAAAGAATGTGTTAAAAAGTTTATAAATTAGAGAATTAAATAATTGTATTAAAAATGATCATTAAACATCTTGTGCAATTTGAAAATTCAATTTAAAATTATAACTTTTGATTAAAAAAATTTTCTCAATAAATTTTTAGATAAAACAAATGTTTAATTTGACAGACCATCAATTGAACGGCAAGTGCTTGTTTTTTATTATATAACTTACTTTTTCTTTTGATTGTGTCTTTTGGTTATACTGAATTTTTATCAACGTCCATTTACCAACGACCATTCAGATCTAAATGAAAATATAATTTTTTTATTGCAACATGCAATATTTCATTTATCTTAAGTAAAATCTTTCAAAATTATTCTGTTATCAAATAATAACTTTATGGTTCTAAGAACAAATATAAAATTTAAAAAATGTTATTTCTATTATTATAACTAATTAGGTAGAAAAAATATTAATGTATATTACTATATTATAAATATTATTACATTTACAATTACTATTTAGGTATATATAACAGTTATAGGTATATATAAATAATCAGGTAGAAAAATAAAAAATGCAAATAAAATTTATTATTACTTTTTATGTACAATTTTTTTTTTTTTTTAATACTTATTTTTGATATTAGCATATCTTTTAGAGAAAAGTTTATATTATATAATTGTTTATAGTAAAAACCTCTTCAAAACAGTGAGTTAACCATTTTATACAAGTAATTGTTTGTATATCTTATATTAACGAAAATTAGTTTAAAACAACTTTTTTCATTTTAAACAAATGAATTAATTCATTTGTTTGAATGATAATTTTTTATAAAAGTTTAAAAAGCTAAATGTTTTATATGCAAATTGAAAACACAAGGACATATACATGTATGTTTTATTAAATAAAATAAATTGTTATTATATGTGTAACATATTAAGTTAAATTATTCATTTTATTTGTTTAAAATGATAAAAATTGTTTTGAACAAATTGTCGTTTGTTTAAGGTATAAAAAATCTAATTTATACATAGTAAAAATAAAAAAATATATATATAAAAATTCTGGGGTCAATACTGGTAAAAAGAAAAAGCAGCCGATAAACTTTTTTTATCTTTTTTATTTGGCCCGTATGTGGTACCCATATAGATTCCGCGGTCAAATCCCGTACGGTTCCCATTTGATTCCCGTATGGGTCCCACACGGTACCCGTATCACATTGCTGGCTGGGATATTTGCTCCAAAACTTTTTTTTTTTTTTTTTTTAAGTTGATTTAGGTGCCCCAAGAAGTCCTTACGGTCTTATCTCAGAGCACCGCGGAAGAGCATTTAGTAGGAAGTTCACACCTCCTTCCCAACCGATGTCGCAAAACTTGCTCAAAGATGGGGTTTGAACCAGGGATCTTACGTTTCTGAGGCAAGTGTGCTATCACTGCGCCACGGCTGCTTAACTTTAAAGTTAGTTAACTTATAACGTTTTGCTTTTTTCCTATACAAAAAAAAGTCGTTTACCGTTCGGATAGTCTTTGTGAACTGTTTGAAAAAACTTTATGAATATCTGTCATTGTACAGTCGCATTAGTTTTTATACACCGAACTTTTGTTAAAATTCCATTGACTGCGTGCATTGTGATTATAAGATATATTTTCTTTAAACAAAACGTCTCCGTTTTGTTTTCTACCATTAATTCGTGCAAACTTGTAAAGCAGACATGTAAACGATGATTTGTTGTTATCTAGCTTTCTATTTCTGTTTAAAATAAAAGCAGAGCTTTTTAATGAGAAACTTATATTTTAGGGGGGCGCCACCGGATTTGGGAACTTGCCAACCCCTCCTCCTACAATCTATGCTGAGTCCGCCACTGTTACAGACACTAGATAATTGTTATTGTGTAAGTTGATACCAAGAAGGATGGTCTCGTATTGTGTGGTATCGCTTATATACTAATGAAGATACCATCAGTATTGCTTCGATACCATACGACACCGATTATAAAAAGTATGGTATGGTATCAAATGGTCGCATAGTCACTAGTTAAAAAAAGAAAATTGTGACCCTTTGAATTTATTATTAAAAAAATACAAGTAAGATTGCTTTTTAGAGGTTTAGTTAATAATTTTTAGTTAATGATGTTATAAGAGGCATAATGAATGACGATTTGTTAGTTTTAATTGTTAAATGTTGAACACAGAACGAAAGACTATACCAGAAGAGAAATACGATATCATGCGAGATTTAATTAAAGTAAGAATACCAGATGATAAATTAAAATACAGAAGCAATACCATACAATCAATTAAATCAAAATAACGATACCATATAAGAAAGGAACCAATATCACACAATTAATTAAGTTAATGTAGCAATATTATTTGAAACATTAAATAATAAATATGATGTGATACGGTACCACACAATCCTTGAGAATTATACTAAATGAGTCAATTATATAGGGAAGAGTGGAGAGAAGTGGGATGCGGAAAAAGTGGGACATCTCCAAAATTCCAATTAGGAGAGGTCACCAATCAACGTTACCTAATGTAAACAATGAGCTTTTTTCTCATCTATTTAGCAAACATTGCTCGTTTTCCTGCGTGTGTAAAAACCACCTTTTTGATAAGTACCTCACCTTTTTTGATAAGAAGTGAAGTGGGTCAAAGAAAAGTAATTAATATTTTAATTCTACCACTTTTGTGTAAATATTTTGAGAAAATCTCACAAAATATTTACATGAGGATTACGTAGTTTTTAAATTTAATAGTTTTTAATTAACAATTATTTTTAATATGTTGTTAATTTCTCTCTTGTCCCATTTCGCCTAATGGCTGTCCCACTTTACCCCGTAGCCTTTTAAAATTTATCCTCTAAAATCAAAAATATTGTAAAGTTTATATTTTATTGCAACCTGCTGTCAATGTGGGTGTCTTAGGGGGTAGAATCTTAGGAGTGGAATCTTAGAGGTGGAATCTTAGGGGGTGGAATCTTAGGGGGTGGAATCAGTGTAATGATGCTTTTTTGTTAAAACTTGTTTGATACAGTAAAAAAGTATATTAAAATTATTTTAGTATTACAGTACATAAAAAATATATTAAAATTATTTTAGAAATTTTTTAAATTGTCCATTTTTCCTCACTCTTCCATACATCTCAGTTATTTTAAAATTTACTATTTCAAATTACTAATTGTTTATAAAAATAAAATCCAAACTCTCGTTAAGATCCAAATGATACCACTGGTATCGGTATCGGTACCAAATGATGCCAACATTACCAATACCAAACAATAAACCGAGACTTGATACCGATTATCTAGTATCTAGTTATATATTTTAGAAAAAGAGTTTCGAGTTTTGTTTAAAAAAAATTTATATTGTTTGAAAGAGTAATTAACGTGCATTTCTGAACTATTTTGTTATATAAACACGTGATGGAGACTTGAAACACGTTTTTTATCCAGCTACCGGTTGCTCTTGTGTTAAATATATTGATATTAGTATGAAACCTGTTTTCTGTGAATTGGGTAAGAACGTGTGAATTGTGTAAAAATTGTGTAGGAATCTTGTTTAGTGTTTTTGCCATAAATATTAAGTTAGCATAGATACTAATTTGATGTTAATTTAGGATGATAACTCAAAACACTTATTGAATGTTCAAAACACTTATTGAATGTTCAAAACACTTATTGAATGTTCAAAACACTTATTGAATGTTCAAAACACTTTTTGAATGTTCAAAACACTTATTGAATGTTCAAAACACTTATTGAATGATATTTTAGACATTTTAAATCTTAATATAATAAGTAAATAGAGTTTATAGTTCTGCATTTTTTCAGTTTTTTTTAACTCAGTTTTAGTTTTTATGCAATATTAAAACTGAGAGCAGAAGTGAGAGATTCGCCCTCTAACAAATTCACGCCATCTTGCAATATGTATTAAAATGTAACTAAATTTTTTTTTAGAAATTTACGAATGTTTTAAGTTAATTGACATTGATGGTTCAGGAAAGCTTACAAACATTAAGTTGCATAAGGCAATAAACTCATTGAAAAGCGAAGTAACATTACAAGATGTTGAAGAAATAATTGAGGATATCAATGAAGAAAGTAAAATAGATATTGTTTGTATATTTACATATATTTTCGCTTTTTTTTTCCTTACTTTTTGTCTTAGCAACATGCATTTATGGGGCTTCCCTAGTCAAAAAGTCCTATTGGGTCCTATAAAAATTTGAAACATAACAAATTTAAGATTTGAACTCCATTAAATTAAAATACAGTTAAAAAGTATTTAAAGTTATTAAAGTTTTTTTTAGTTTTTTGTTTTGTTTTTTTTGTTTTGTTTTTTATTTGTTCTATAGAACTTTTTGGCTAGGGCTAAAACGCAATCAATTTGGATAAATGTTCTACTGATGACTGTGTCAAATGGATTATAAAAAATTAAAACCATTTTCAACTGTCTTAATTAAATTTAAAAATAGCTAAACTATTACGCTAATTTAAATTTAAAAATAGCTAAACTATTAGATTATTATTTTTTAAAACAGTATTAAAAATTGTTGCGTTCCCAAAAATGTTAAATTGCTTATCTTTAACAAGATAGAGCAAGGTTGGTTGCTAAGCAAGGTTAGTTGCTAAGCAAGGTTAGTTGCTAGGCAAGGTTGAGCTAACCGTAAGTTATTTAAATAAAAGCTTTCAAAGACTATGCATCATATAAATAATAAACATCTAATGGACGCAGAGTCAATGGTAACAGCTAGTTACAAAAGGTTGTTAGATAGCTACTGTTATTCAACAATCTTTTTCTTTTTCTTTTTCTTTTTTTTTTTTAATTTTTATTTCGTCAATATGCACACATTTTACATGGTTATCCTTACGTTTTAATAAATATTTATAATTACAATCTGACTGGGGCAACTAGAAGACAAAATGTCTTATCATCGAGCTCCTTCCTGAAATAAAGAAAAACCAAATTTTAACGTTTTAATATTATACAAAAGAGAAAAATTAAAAAGTATGAAAAAAATAACAAAGTCTGCATTAAAGAAAAAATCTTTAAAAAAAAAAGTTTACAATGGGTACATATACGTATTGCAATATAACTTAAATATAAAAATAACGTATTATATAACATAAATATAAAAATGCACAAATCGGTACATATACGATACAATATGTAGTATATATTTATATTTATACATATTCGATACATATATTATATTTATACATATTTGATACAATACATATATTTATATATTTAAAGAGGATTTAGAATTTAAGAAGATTTTATGCATTTTTTATATTTAAATTCATATATTTATATTTTTTATACAAAATTAAGAGAAAAACAAAAACAACAAGTTATTGAAAAAAAAATAATAATAAATGAAAGAGTGTGTGTATTATTTAAATTTAGTATTTTTTTTTTATAGTTAATTTAAATATATCAATATATTTTGTATACCAGATGTATAACATCATTGTATAACATCTGGAATAAAAGGTTGTTGGATAGCAGTAACTAACCAGTGATATGTACTGAGGCCCCTTAAGGGCTATATGTTGCCTTTATAATTGCAAAGAATTAAGCAAAAATAAATTAACTCTAAATTACATAGTTTTTTTTGAAAAGGGTGAAGGAAACATCTAATAATATGCATGCAAATTTCCACAACTTTAAAAAAATAAAATAGTATTTCCAAACTTTATCATTATTTGGAAAAATACAAATTTGTTTTTAAGTTTTTCGATTATTTACATAATCAAATTATAGCAATAATCAGAAGTTTTGATGATTTTGCTTAACTGTCGACGACGTTATTCTAATCAATTTTTATGCCATTCTCAGCATTCATCAAAGTATGTGACTCAAGATGCTTTTTATTCAAATGATTACCAAGACAATTTTTCACAATCTTTAACTTATTTTAACAAAAAAGCTTGCTCACACTTGACTTGTATGCAAGAGAGACATAGTACCATTTTACATGCCATATACATATTAGAATATGCAGAAGAATGTAAATTGTAGCGGTGGAGAAAACGAAGAACGCTATTGTCTTTTCTGGAGGAGCATTTTTCTAATTCAGTTTCATCAGTATTGAGTTTCATCAGTATTCAGTTTCATCAATCAGATTTCCGTTTAATCATTATTAATAAAAAATGAGAGCAAATAATGTCATCTCTGTGCACATTATTTCTCTCTGTATGGAAGATTGGCTTCATGAAAAATATAGTTCTCAATATAGTCACGCAAAAATAGAAAGTTATTTGGATCCAGACAAGCAATACTCTCTAAGATACCAACATTATTTCCTTTGAAATGGCTTTTGATTGCTGTAATTGTAGTACCCAGAATATCATAGAGTAGTTTAACTTTAAACCGCCTTACTGAGTCCTGAAATTCTTGTCTCTTTTCATCACTCGTATTTCCATAAACCATCTGCTTTCTTTGTCGAGCTATTTTTTGTGAGGGCTCAGTTTTAAAAGTTTCTTTGATATCTTAAATTCAGATATGATATTATCAGCCTCACTCAATATAATTTACTCTGCGAATAACAAATAATAATATGAGGCTGCTTTACAATGACTTTGTATATTTTATTAAACATTTTATATTTTTACCGATAAAATTACTACCATATTTATTGTATTGCGTTTGCAAAATTGATGCATATAAATAATAAACAATTATTATTCATTTTTATGTGTTTTTGGATGTTTTACTTGTGCATCTTTATTTATAATAGAACCCAGGACCTTCGGGCCTAACAGGAGCCGAGGGATTCCCAAACCCCCGGGCCAGTCCAATTCTTTATCCAACAACATTTTGTTGCAAATTGTGCTGACTCAACTACACTCTTAAGTCGAATGGTTCTTCAAAGAACCTTTAAGGGTTCTTCGCGTTGAGGCTCGTGGAGCACCCCTAAAGGTTCTTCAAAGAACCCTTTGCAAAGGTTCTTCGGAAGAACCTTAAAGTAAGGAGCTTTATAGAACTTTAAGAGTTCTTAGCGTTGACGCTCGTGGAGCACCCGTAGAGGTTCTTCAAAGAACCCTTTGCGAAGGTTCTTCGGAAGAACATTAAAATAAGGTTCTTTAAAAAACCCGTTATAGTTCTTCATCGAACTGTTCAATGTTTTGCATTATTACTAACGTTGCACGGATATTTTTTTGACTTCTTGAACATTTTTTATTATTAAATATTTATAAAATATATAATTATTTAATAGATTTTTTAAAACTTAATTATAACTTTTTAAGATATTTAAGCTAGTTGTTTAATACCAAAATTAAAATGTAAACAACGACTTTCCTAAATATTTAACATATATTTCAATATATGACAATAAAGATAAAAAAAAACATTTTTAAACAATTTATAATATTTATTTATATATATATTTTATTTTACAATCCATTATGACTTGATCTTCAATTATAAAAAAAAAACAAGTATTTTCTAGTGTTAAATCCAATGTCCAATATATAAATGTTTTTGCTTGAAACTAGATGTACAAATAAACGTGAGATTTTTGTTGTCGCATTCATTTGAAGAATTATCTAAAATTCAATAATGAAATGAATATATATATATATATATATATATATATATATATATATATATATATATATATATATATATATATATATATATATATATATATATATATATATATATATAATAATAATAATAATAACAACAATAATAATAACAATAATAATTAGAGATTAAAGTACCATAGTTCAACAATAATCATAAATATGATAAAGTGATTCAGAAGCACTAATAAACAAGCATTGTTTAGGTTGAGTAAGCAGCTTTAAAAAGTTCAACTTTTTTTTGAGAAGTTCCAGGTAGAAGACTGTTACAGTATTCAAGTGGAGAGTTATATATGTATATATAGTGTCCGAACACTTATATAGTTGAAAATAAATTGAAACTTCAATCTAACCAATAACTTCTGGGAGTTCTTTAAGTTCTAAGTGTACGTAAACATCTTCTACTCTCCAGTTCAAACAATATGCCATTTTTTAAATTTTAACAAATGATATATTTATTAATCTAAATAAAACCATTCGCAATATACAATGATATATTTATTTATAATATGCATGATAAAAGCATAAAGGAATAAGAAAACTGCTCAAAAAAACAAAAAAAAAAAAAAACATGTTGCTTTAATAATCGCTGTTGATGTTTACAACGGTAATAAAAACAACTAAAATGTTTAAAGCACAAATTAAATGCTGTCATCATATTCATTTGTTATTGTTAATATACCATTCTTTATAAATACATACATAACTACTGATTAGAAAAATTAAATGGCGTTTACAAAAGGTTTAAAGAGCCCTAAATTAAGGGTTGTGTTTAGATCATATCCCATTCGGAACAATTATTTTTATTTGCGTATTTTTAATAATAAGTTAGATAAAAATTAAAAAGCAAGCGAGATTATCTAATGCTAGTTACGCGGTTTTGCACTATCTCCAGGGCCGGCGCGAGTAGGTATCACGTGGGGGGGGGGGGATTAGGTGCCATTACAACTTTTGCCGACCAAAAACGAAAAAAAAAAAAAAGTTCTTCGTTTTCGAAAATTTGCCGACTGCCCTGACGACATTTGCCGACTGACTGTCTAAATTTACCAACTAATCAATTGAGAGGGTCTACAATTGCCGACTAACTAGTCAAATTTGACGACTAAGGGTCAAATTTGACGACTAAAAATCATTGATGTTCACAAACACCCCTATCCCGCCAGCCTTGACTATCCCCAATGATTTAGTTTTCTAAATGACATTGAAGTCTTATTAAATTTACCTTACACTTAAATAACGGTGCTATTTAATAAAAATATAGAATAACAATAAACAAAACTAACAATGAGCAGTATTAAAAAATGTTTTTAGTACCAAAAATGCATTATATACTGCTTAAAATAACAGTCTCTAATTTTAAATAAACTTTTTAGGGTAAAACCACCAACCGCTTAATTTTAAACTGCGTCATATGTTACCGCGAATGGCTTAGATTCTTAAAAATATTTCTAAACACTTAAAAAACCTCTTGAGATACAATTTATGACAAGTTTGGAAATTTTTGTTTATAAATTAACAAGTTTTAGCACAAATATTACAAGGCGTAAAAAACACGAAACCATGGCCAGAGATCCAAAATATGGCCAAATAAGCCGCCGGTTCTTCAAAGAACCATTAGAGAATATTAAGAATCCGAAGGTTCTTTAAAGAACTTTAAAATTTCTCCAAGAACCTTTAGGTTCTTCAAAGAACTGGCAAAGAACCGCAAAGAACCCTTTAGATTTAGTGTAGGTCAGAAATAAACTTTATTTGTTTGAGCCTACCATCTTTTGAAAATTTTTTTGATTCCTTTGCGACACGATAATTTAGATACAAAGAAAAGTTTTTTAAACGGAGTAACAAATATAGCGTCTAACTCAGGTGGATTATCGTCGGTAGCGTATTTCGGAGAATATAATCGGCTGTTACTACCATAATCCAACGACTTCGAAAACCATAACAAAAACTCCATTTTTATTTTATTTTTTGTGCAACTTCTGCGATTTAATTGAACTTAGTGGCAACTAATTATAAAGCAGTATATTAAAAGTACATTAAGAACCCATATTACCTGGTTTACAAACAAAAGGGATGAACCCAGACATTTTTAGGTAACGTTAGAACGGTATGGGCACCCAAAAAAAATACCCGATAAGTTGATTATTACAAAACGGCCTAATCAACCTAAAGATACATCCTAATTAAATCTACTAAAAATTAGATCCTATTTAAATCCGTTGAACTTAAATCCTGCCAGATAACTAAAAATTGAAACTATATGTTCTACGACTATATAGGATACACTATCTTGTTTCTTAACCCTTAAATTAGACAGAATGAAGTATTCTAATAAAAAACTAAGACTTAACTAGATTCACTGCTCAGATTGACACCATGCTTATAAAAACTACATAAAACTAAATAAATGAAATAACAGTTTATAAAAATTGACTTTAATTGTGATCCATGATTACCATTACATGATTATTTTTTTAATGTATATATTTTTAATATATATTATATGATTACTTTTTTAATATATATATATATATATATATATATATATATATATATATATATATATATATATATATATATATATATATATATATATATATATATATATATATACATATATATATATATATATATATATATATATATATATATATATATATATATATATATATATATATATATATATATATATATATATATATATACATATATATATATATATATATATATATACTATTGTATAAATTTTTTTAAATGTTGTTCGGCAAAATACGCAACTAAAATTAATCGTTTCGAATGGATATGATCTAAACACAACCTAAATTAAGGTTCTTCGAGGTTTTCCGTAAAACGATTTGAAGAACCTTATGGGTTCTTTGTATTGCTTTGTAAATAAGCCGCCGGTTTTTCAGAGAACTATTAGAGAATATTAAGAATTCGTAGGTTCTTTAAGGAACCTTAAATTTTCTTCAAGAACCTTTAGGTTCTTTAAAGAACCGGCAAAGAACCGCGAAGAACCTTTTAGATTTACAGTGTAGTTGACTTTACTTGTGCGGACTTGATTAGTCTAGTTAACTAGTGTGGACTCAACTTGTGCGGACTCGACTAGGTGACTTGTCTAGTGCGGATTCAACTTGTCGAGTGAGCACTTTTTATAATTATGATTCTAAAACATCAATATATATATATATATATATATATATATATATATATATATATATATATATATATATATATATATATATATATACATGTGTGCGTGTGTTATTTTACTCTAAAATGCCGATAAAACTTTTTATCTGCCGTCATTAAAGTGGTAATATTTTACTCATTCATTGGTTTTTGATTATGATGAGCCATTTTTTATTAAGTCTTAACGTTCTCTCTATAGTTCAATATATGTGTTGTCTATTGACTATTTTAGTTGGGGCAAGTTAAGCAAGTTTGAAAAAAATAGACAAAATAGCGCTATCGAACACTAAGTTATTAACTATTGAAATTGAAATTTTTACATTGTTTTATTTAAATCGTATTACCTCGTTAAGGTATTTGAGCTAAAAAGTTAGTAACTTATTTAGACAGACTTAGCAGGTTGGCAAACTTTAAGCAACATCACTCAAACAAATCCAAAAATAATTTTTTGATCAACTTTTAGCAAGTAAAATTTTTTTTTAATAAATTAAAACAAAAATATAAATCCGACACAGCATTCAGGATATCTGTTGGATTTAGTAAAAATTGTTCAACATGCTCCCCCTCCCCGCTCTATTTTTAATAATCTCTGAAATATTTTTAAGTTTCGTAATCTATTTCGCAATCCTCGTAAATAAATATTTAATTTTTTCAGAAAAAGACAAACAAGTGATCGAATTCATAGATTTTGTTAAAATAATGGGTAAAGAAATAAAAGAACCTCTGAGTGAAGAAGATGTTCAAAATGTATTTGAGATAATAAACGTCAACAAGACTGGTTTTGTTACCTCTTCTGATTTATATTCAGTTTTAACATCATTTGGTTTTGAGTTAACTCCAACAGAAATTGATGCAACATTTAAAAAATACGGAGATGGTTTAATCAATTTTGAAGGTTTACTTAATTACTTATTGTACTAAATACTCCATTATTTGTGTGTTTATTTTTTGTATATTTTGTTTTTATATATTTAATTTTAAACTACAAATTAACTATAAACTGTTTTTGTTTCTTTAATTGATTGTTTTAACTTATTTAATTCTCATCAATTCTAAATAACTACACTCGTTTATTCAACTTGCCTCGATTATTTTACTACACTCTTTATTTAACTACACTTGTTTACTTAACTACACTAGTTTGTTTAACTACACTCGTTTGTTTAACTACACTCGTATATTTAACTACGCTAGTTTATTCAATTACACTCGTTTATTTAATTATCCTCGTGTATTAAAATGAGTAAATTCTTTTAGAAATAAAGATGCTTACGCAACAAGCGCATGCAAGTATTCTTGGACCTGAAGATAGTTTTGACGAGAAAAACAACATAGAAGAGAAGAATAACGATAGTTAATAAGAAAATTTTACAAGAACAATAACATAGAAGAGAAGAAAAACGTCAGTTTATAAGAAAATTTTATATAACTACATGTTTCAAAGGATTAGCAAAGATTAGTAAGGATAGATCAAACATGAAATTAAAAATAAAGTAATGTAACTTTTTTTTTCTTGTTCCGTTTTTAAGAGTGAAATACACCGAGTGCTTGAATATCCACATTATGAAATTAAAAAAGAAATTTCTATGTTTAAAAACTAATTTAAATTTACCCAACAACATCGACAAAAACAATGACAACAACAACAACAACAACAACAACAACAACAACAACAACAACAGCAGCAACAACAACAACAACAACAACAACAACAACAACATTAACAACAACAACAACAACAACAGAATATGTGTTTAAAAAATATTATGTTAAAAAACTAATTTAATTTGACGCAACAACATCGACAAAAATAACAACAACATTAACGGCAACAACAATTACAATTTGTTTACTTATAAACTAATACACACCTATTTTATAATTCAAAGAAATTCAATAAATTTAATTTACTGCTGTATGTGATTTAGCGAAACTATTTATTATGTGAATTCGTTCAAAACCACTTTTTTCACAAGAGAATTTGTCTAATATGGAATAAAATTGACCAAACTATTTATTGTAATGTTTTATGACTGATATTTTACTATTGTTTCTGGTTTAATTGCTATTACAGATAATCGATTTTTTAAATCTTCGGTCCATAACGAAATAATCATGAAAAATATCCTTTCAACAGCAGCGAACCAGAAAGCGTCATTGTTCGACTACAGGTTTTATAACTTTAACAACAACTTCGTATTTTATTTCAGTTTAACATTTGTTAAACTTCATGTTTTGAAAAAACAAAGTTCTTCAAAAAAAAAATTTTGATTTCGAACACTTATTGAATAAGTGTCTTTTATAATTGATGCTTTGCCATTTATAATCGAACATTTATCAATTTAACGATTTCTTCTAATGGTGCCCAATGCATTATTTAATTATAATGCATTTTTTAAATGAAGGACCATGCTCTCAACTGCAAAATTATAAAATTGTTTCCGAAAAATTCCTCAATATTGTTTTTAAATATGACATATGTAAACAAAAAATTCTATATGTAAACATATGTAAACAAAAATATATGTAAACAAAAAAATCATGCAATTTTTTGCAATTTTAATTTTTTTATATACAGGGTGGCCCATAAGTCACTTTACATTTTAAAAATTAAATTACTTTTTTTCTAATAATATATTTCTATTTCTCTTTTCAAAATTAATAAATATAATCTTTGGAAATTTTTGGAATGGATAAAGTTACGACTGAACAACGAGTGAAGATAATTGAATTTTACTTTGAAAATGGACGGTCAATTGTTGCAACGCAAAGATTGTATGTGCGCCATTTTAATATTCGACATCCACCTAGTATGCCTGCAATAATGAACTTAGTGACGCGTTTTCAAGAGCATGGCTCTGTAAGTGATAGGACTAGAAGTGGACGAGGTCGTTCAGCACGTACACGTGAAAATACTGAAGCTGCGAGCCGTAGCATTGAAGAGAATCCAACCACATCCACTCGAAGGCGTTCTCAAGAACTTGGCATTTCACGGAGTTCTCTGCAACGCATTCAAAGAGACTTGCACATGTACCCTTACAAGATTCAATTAGTGCAATCTTTACAACCACCAGACTTTCAGAAACGACTAAATTATGCTGTCAGGTTTCAGAGAACTGCAAGAAATGACAATGAATTTATTCACAAGTTAATCATGGGAGATAAAGCTCATTTCCATTTGAATAAACATGTGAATAAGCAGAATATCAGATTCTGGGGCACCGAAAATCCACACCAAATTCATGCGAGTCTACTACACCCGGTTAAATTAACATCATGTTGTGGAGTAACATCAGAAAGGGTTATTAGGCCCTTCTTCTTTGAAGATATAAATGAAAATGCTGTGACTGTAACTGCTGAGAAATATCAAGACATGCTAGCGAATTTTGTTCAACCTCAGTTAGCAAACATGGCAGGGTATTGGTGGCAACAAGATGGAGCAACTGCACATACCGCTAGAGCCACTATGCAATTGTTAACTGCAATGTTTCAGGATCGAATAATCTCTCTTAAATCCGATTTTGAATGGCCTCCACGTTCTCCTGATTTGACAGCACCAGACTTTTGGCTTTGGGGATATTTTGAAGACAAAGTGTATGCAAATAAGCCCCGAACTGTTCAAGATCTTAACGCAAAAATACGACAGGAAATTCTTTCCCTACAAACTCAGATGTTAAGAAGTGTCATGGAGAATAGCTTAAAAAGAGCTCGACTTTGTAAAGACGAGAATGGAGGCTATTTAAGAGACATTATCTTTCGTAACTAAGTCAGAACTAATTTACAGACTCTAAACTTTGTAATAAAAAAAATTAATTAAATACAGTCGTTTAAGAAAAAGTTATTTAATTTTGAAAATGTAAAGTGACTTATGGCCACCCTGTATAAATGTAGAAATTATAAAGTTGACGACAAAACTGTTTTGGTTCTCAATGGATTTTTTAGTTCCAGAAACGAACTTAATTTGGTTTTCAATAAATATATAAAAGCGATGAATTTTTGAAAAAATTTTAAATTACAACAGGACATTTTTCAAGAAAAAAGAAAAATAATTTTAGTAGCCGTGTCATTTGAGTTCAAGTGGTTCCAAGAGGTTCGAGGTTCGATGCAAGTGAACCAAGAGGTTCAAGGTCCGATTATACGACCAATTGAGCAATATTGGTAAAGAAGGAGTCGTGATTTTCCGTGTTAAATTCTATTCCGTGGTGCTCTTTGATAAGACTGTTGATCTTCTCGGAACACCTTAATATTATAGAAATTAAAAGAATATATAAAAATGCTAAAACAATCAATTAATCTGACCGAGGAAGGAAGAAATGGCAGCCAATGGGTTTTCAAATATCCCTATACGGGTTTGAATTCTTTGCCAACAAAATCACTAAGCTCTTTTAGTTGCTCGATATTTACGGTATAAATGTGATCTAGGCTGAACAACCAAGCCCAATGATGTTTTTTATTTTTGGTGGAACTATGCAATTTTGTAAACATTTTTTTTTACCTTCTCATTTCTATCAAAACTAAAGTTAGTATTATCATTTAAAAAGCGATTTTCGGTCTTTTCAACTGATAATACCACGTAAACTTCAAAATTGTTCCTATTCTAGACCGCCTGACTAGAATAGGAACAATTTTTAAGTTTGCGTGGTTTGAATTATTAATCATTATTTTAATAAACTTTTTTTTTTTTTTTTTAAGTTGATTAAGGTGCCCCAAGAAATCCTTACGGTCTTATCACAGAGCACCGCGGAAGAGCATTTAATGGGAAGTTCACGCCTCCTTCCCAACCGATGTCGCAAAACTTGCCCAGAGGTGGAGTTTGAACCACGGATCTTACGTTTCTAAGGCAAGCGCGCTACCACTGCGCCACGGCTGCTGTTGAATTAATTCAAACTTGAATTTATTCAAATTATTTATTACTTATCTAATGCCTAATGATAGGAAATTATAGGTAATGGTTTAGGTTTTTGTTTGTAAGCATTCAAATTTTTTCTTACTTTATTTTCTATGTCGCATTTTGATATCTCATATTTTATATATTGTTTATGCATTATTAATAGATTGCTAATGTTTTTGAGATTGCACATGTTTAACAACATCAGAACGTCCACCGTGATCAATATTAAAATACGATTTATATAGTGTATAATACATATGTTTATACATATTTATACTGTGCGAAATTTCGTTATTTTTGGATGATAACTTTTTCTTATAAATACAAATTCATTGGTCCAATTTTTGTTCATATTAGGTACATTTTCTTTTTGGCATAACTTAAAAAAATATATTTTCAGATAAATCTATAAATACGTACATATCTGAATCTCGAAATACTTGTGATTTTTACATTTCGCGAACGAATATTTATACTAAGCAAACAAACACTCTTTTTCATTTGTCAAAACTCGACTTGATAAAAAAATAAATGCTACATTTTTTCAACATATTTCTCTATCTATTTTTTAAAACGTATTTTGAAAAAAAGACAATTAAAAAAAAAAAGATTAAATGCAGAAATCCTTTGTTTAAAAATAATGATTTTTTTTACAAATTTCCTCAAAATTCTTTAAAAAAAATTTTCAGTAACATTTAAAAGCATTTAAACAAACTTATTTTGTAAAAAAAAGTCTTTTTCTTAAATTCTACTTTTTTTAAAAGTCGATTTATTTCCTTTTAGCTGTTTTTAAATAATTAATACTAAATATAAAGCAAAGTTTACAATACTAAAATAAATGTCCATTTATTTTGGTATTGTAAACTTTGCTTTATGAAAACAAATTCTAATGTGATAATTATTTATATCGACTAGTATCAGTCCGAGTGCGTAAAGACAGCCGACTTTGCAAAAATCTGTCTCTTTCACAATGATGATTCTGTTGATGACTTTTAGTTTGAGCAACAAAAGATTTTTATTATTCATATGTCTGTTCAAAACTCAACTGCTAACAAGTGTTAAAACTATTGCTGTTGGCTAAACACTTCCTCATCTTATAAGTGAATTATACACCACTAATATATTGTAATCTTGTAAAATAAAACCTTTATAATTTATTCCACATTTTAAAACTATATCATAATATATATATTTAAGTTAATGGCGCCCGAGTCAAAATGAAGAATCAAAGTATTAGTTTTAAAACCAATAAACGAAAAGTCAATCAACAAAATCTTTGAGAAAGGTAATTAAGGCGCTTAAAAATGAATTTTTTAAGCTTTTCTGGCCGCACAAATATTGATGACATGTCGTTTAGCTAAATCTTCTTTAATTAAAGTAATTAAAAGATTAGTAACGCAATCCTGAATCATGGTCGAACGGAGAGAGTGAAAGCGCTTCAGTTTATGCTTTCTTTTAGTAGCAAGTTCAGTTTTCGAATCCTAGCAGTCCAACTACAGCCACAACCTATTGGAAAATTTTCAACCAATTGCCCTTAATTTTAGTTTATGATCTTCCAGCAGCTGTCTAATTATAGTAATGGCTTCATCTGAGCTGTTCACTAGTT